GCTCTTCTGCTGGCAAGTCCTGTGGGGTGTCCTCTGGTGGCCCCCCCGGTTCCGCCCGATGCCTTGGGTCCACTTCTGTCGGGAGTTCGGGTAGCATTCGCCGCCGGAGCTGGTCGATATGCCGCCAGACCTGTCCACACTCCGTGGACACCTCGTACATGACTGTGCCCAGGGCACGGATGACGCGACCCGCGATCCACTCCGGACCCCGGCCGAAGTTTCTGGCGAAGACTGGGTCCTCTGGGAAGAACCCGCGTGCTGCTTCCCTCTGCTCGGCGGAGTTCCTTTGGTCGGGGGCCCAGTCCAGGTGCAATCGGTCCAAGAGGATCGTCGGCTTCCGGCCCATCAGCAGCTCCGCTGGGCATCGCCTGCTTACCGGGTTGGGTGTTGTGTGCTGGGTCAGGAGGAACCAGGCGATGCGGCATTCCCATTCCCCGTCTTCCAGCCGGCTCAGCGCTTCCTTCGCTGTCCGGACCATGCGCTCTGCTTGACCGTTGGTCGCTCGGTGGAATGGCGCCGACCTGATGTGCTGTATCAGGTTGCTGTAGAGGAACTTCTGAAATTCCTCGGACGTAAAGGCCGTCCTGTTGTCTGAGACGATGGTGTCGGGCAGCCCATGTGTGGCGAAGCTGTTTGAGCGTGGCCTCCGAAATGATGGAGGCCGCCGAACCGGAGTCTACCTCCATGCGGCAGGGGGACCCTTCGATCGTTACAGTTGCCATGAATTTAGGGGTGGGCAACTTCCCGGGGAGTTGTAGTACCTGTTCCACGGTGTGGGCAAGCGGATCCCCGCAGCTGGCACACCCGGACTGGGCTGGGTTGCTGGCAACCGGAGCTTGTGTTCGCTGCTGGGGCGCGACACGGAGCTTGAGTGCAGTGGACGTCCTCGCCGAGGGTGTCTGTAGGCCCGGTGCTGGCTTGATGGGCGGTGGAGGTGGCTGGGTGGGACCGTTCCCATGCGGAGGCGGTAGCAATGGCCGACGTGATGGTAACTTTCTCCCCCTCCATGATGCGTCGCCTCAGCTTTTCCTCCCGCAGACCAGCGACGAATCGGTCCCTCAGCGCCATGTCCAAGTATTCCCCGAACTTACAATCAGCAGCTAGGCGGCGGAGCTCGGCGAGAAACTCTGCGGCTGTCTCACGGCCTAGCTGGCTCCGATGCTGGAATACCACGTGGCAGGTCATCTCCGACGGCTTCGGCGCGTAATGGTTCTGGACTGCGACTATCTCCTCGAAGGTGGAGGCATCGAACGTTTTGGGGGAGAGAAGATGCTGGGCTAGGTCTACTATGGCGGGTCCGCACGACCCGAGTAGAAGCGGCACACCCAGACTGGGCTGCTGGCGACCGGAGCTTGTGTTCGCTGCTGGGGCGCAACACGGAGCTTGAGTGCAGTGGACATCCTCGCCGAGGGTGTCTGCAGGCCCGGTGCTGGCTTGATGTGCGGTGAAGGTGGCTGGGTGGGACCGTTCCCATGCGGAGGCGGTAGCAATGGCCGACGTGATGGTAACTTTCTCCCCCTCCATGATGCGTCGCCTCAGCTTTTCCTCCCGCAGACCAGCGACGAACCGGTCCCTCAGCGCCATGTCCAAGTATTTCCCTAACTTACAATCAGCAGCTAGGCGGCGGAGCTCGGCGAGAAACTCTGCGGCTGTCTCACGGCCTAGCTGGCTCCGATGCTGGAATACCACGTGGCAGGTCATCTCCGACGGCTTCGGCGCGTAATGGTTCTGGACTGCGACTATCTCCTCGAAGGTGGAGGCATCGAACGTTTTGGGGGAGAGAAGATGCTGGGCTAGGTCTACTATGGCGGGTCCGCACGACCCGAGTAGAAGCCCCTTCTTCCTGGCCTCATCCGTCACCTGGTAGAAGATCAGGACTTGCTTCAGGCCGGTGATCCAAGCTCCCCATTGCTGTGGACGGGCTGTATCGAATGGCGGTACCAGCCCTGATCCTGGAGCAACGGCCATTGTGCTGCTCGGTTGCTGCTGCGGCAGGGAAGCGGCTTGTTCACCCTCGGTGCTCATCTATCGCTTGAGCGCGGGTCGTGTGCATAGTCTTCCCTCTCCGAGCCCGATAGCCCGGCTGGGTTGCTCAGCGGGATCCCATCCTCGTCGCCATTGAAGTGTAGTGGGTTAGACGCATGACGTGATCAGCACAACTTTACTGGTACACAACAAAAGACACAGACACTGGCCGGCAGGCCAACTATATACACAACCAGGGGACACACCCCTGGATCCCATTGGCGGGTTTAAATCTCCCGCCACGGTCCCCTTGGGTCCCCTGTGGAGGGACTAAGATCCTAGTCCCCATTGTTGTCTCGGACTCAAGCTCAGGAGTGTGCGCTGGCCTCTGGTGGCGGTCAGCGGACACAACAAATGTAATGACAGTGGTCTGAATTCAACCACATTACCAGAATGCATGCAGGTTTTCCCCATTTTCCTCTTCCCTGGAAGTCTTCTTTGACCTCACAAAAGATTATTCCTGGAGCAGCAGAAAGTGAACAGACTTTTTGCCTACTTTTCCCTTCTTCAACGTAGCCCAATTTATAAGCCTTTTGTCCACACAAGTTTAATTACATTAGTGAATCATCCTTCGGGGGGGGGGAATGGGGAAACTCTACATCTACCACTGATGGTTAGGTCCAGTCCTCTGTGATATACAATTGACATTTCTTTGAGTGCATTTTATTATCTTTTTATGTGTATTAATGAAAAAGGCAATAGTTTTACAAGGCAACACATTTTTATCAAGATGTTTGTGCATAAAACTTTACAAATAACTCATCATTATATCGAATTCTGAACTGAGTTATACAGTATGGATCAAAAAATCCTCAGTGGGGCCAAGGACAGATTTGGGGGGGGGTTGTTCTGCAAACTCTGGTGAAGCCCGTGGTTTACAAAAAATGTGAAATGAAACGATGAAATATATTTGGGTTAGAAAAACCCAAGCATCACAGAAGCAATGTCTGAGAAGTGTGCCACTGAGATCTCATGACACTATGTTGTGAGTCTCAACTGCTCTTTTGAGGAATGCTAGGCAACCAGCAACCAACACTGTTGAGGATTGACTCAGTTAGCTATGATGGAGGGAAGATAGAGCTGGAGACGAGGAGGAGGAAGAAAGGTAACAAGGAAAAGCTGAAGATGGGGGAGGAGAACACAAAAACGGGTCAGTAAGTACACAGGTGGAGAGACAGGAGGAGGAGAGGCTACAGGCACTTCTCGGGTAGGCAGAGTGGCAGACAGGGAATGGTGAAATGAGATCCCTCTCCCACCATCAGATATTGTGGGTTCCCACCTGTGCTTAACTATCAGGAAAGTAAGTTGTAGAAAACAGGCAAATAATGTGTCATTCTAAAGATACAATGCATTACTTGTACCCTTCCCAAAGTTACCTATTTGAAAACGTGCTAAACACTAAGAACAGCAATAAAAATATACCATTACTCACAGGGACACAGAACCTGGCTATTTAAAGTTCTGCATTGCAGCAGTTTCATTTTGCCATGAAAAATGTGCACATTCGGGAGAGATGTTGGGACTTCTAACTATGAAATAACTACCACAAATGTGAAAAAATTGGCAACTTTCAAAACCTTCATATATAGCCTAAAACAAAGCCATGATCCTCAAAAACATATTTATGAGTTTCTTTTCGTCTGTCACAGCTATTTGTGATCGCATACGTGAGGATGGGAGAGAGCTTACAAATAAATACAATGATTGCTTCTAAATAGTCAGCTTCTCCAAATATCTGTTCAGAGAAAGATAGTTTAAGTTAAATCATGTATGCATATGCAATTACTTGTATAATTTTACATTAAACTTACTGAACAGAAAGATTTGGCTTTATTCTATTCCCCTTAAGATTCTTCAAAAATGTCTGTCATCCTACTTAAGCTCTCTTCTTTCAGAGACTTGGCAGACATCTATGTTAAGCAGTTTGCAAAGAAAAAACCCACTGAATGGACAAGATTTTCTGAAAGGAATTAACAAGATGCTTATTTATTTTATCTGTACAGGTGGCAAAACAGAACAGTTCAGGTTCCATCAGTGTTTAATTCATGAGTGTAGTCAAGAAATAAATCACTTTGAAACTGTAATATCCCTAAGGGCACCTCGAAACCCCTTGCAGCCAGCTTTAATTAGCCAAGAGGGGCACGGGCCAAGGCTCGTCAGCATGAACACTGAAGTCACCCAGGACTATCAGTCTAGGGTGCTCCAACACCCAGCCTGACACAGTCTCCACCAGGGATGACAGGCTATCCGTTGATGTGTTGGGCAGTCGGTACACCAGCCAGACAGCCAAATTCTCCCTGGCTTCCCATACAAAGCTGGCACACTCGATGCCTGTGAGCCTCGGCGACAGGAGCGTCCTGAAGGAGTAAACCTCCCAGATGAACAGAGCCACCCCCCCCCCCGAATCTGCATCCTGCTCCAGCAAGAAGTCACGAACGATGGAGGTCTTATTATTTATGGACCTGGCATTGCACAGCACCAATGTCGGAGTGGGGTTTTTAATCCTAGCCCTACTGCCTACCACCTTTGGGATGGGGCACAGGCTGGAAGGTGGCCGAGCTTCTCTATTTCTCTGCCCCCTTCCCTTCCTGCCTGGCTCCACTGCTGTACTTTCCCTCCCCAGGAGTACTCATATTCCCCCTGGGCCCCGTCATTATCAGCTATAAATGGTCTTCGCTACTCTGAGCCTCAGACTAACTAATAGCTGACTGACGGGTGGTATAGCCTAGTGTGGTGCTACTAGTGGCAGTTCACAATTCTCTTAGTGCTGCTAACCTTAGTAAACCTAATCTATCCTAACAAACCATACTACTCTACTAACTAACAACCCATCCTCTAGCTAGTTAGCACTTAAGTTTCAATCCATTTATCTTTCCCAGGCCAGTAACTTCTATAAAGGCCAGGGATCATCATAGTTGTACAAGTCAGTTTCCACTATGATCTAGTCAGTTTCCATGTCATACCCATTCTGTGCCCTGTTGGTGGCCATCCAGAGGAACTGGCTGGCCACTGTGTGAGACAGGATGCTGGACTAAATGGACAACTGGTCTGATCCAGGAGGCCTCTTCTTATGTTCCTAAGCAAGAGACATTAAGCAATGGGCTGAAGAGGGCAGAAGTGCTGCTTAACAGACGAGGATACCCTTTACAAGGGACTGCAAATAAAGTCCTTTGAGATTTTTGCACCCACAGGGCTGCTGCCAAGGAGAGCTTCCGAAGACAAACCAATGTTGCCACTATCAAACAGAGCCTACCACTTCTACAGATGGATAACTGGGTCAGATAGGAATGCCACCATGCATTAATCTCTTCCTCCTACCAGCAGAGTCAAAAACCACCACCACAGTGAAAAAAAGTCTGAGTCCAGTGACACCTTTAAGACCAAAGTGTGTGTCCTAAATTTCAGCTTTTTAAGGCATTGGTCTTCTTGGCAAAGAGGCATAATATTCATGTTCTCAGGCCACATCTACGCTAAAGGCTTGAAACTGGCTTGAATCAGTTTGATTGCTGTGGTTACCCTCTCACAGGGCAAGTTTTACAAGGGTTCTCAAAATTCTTCCATTGAAATTCTTCACTGCCTTGGGGAAAAGGGGAGAGTGGAGCTATGATAGTTAAACCAACACAGTGCAGATGTGCCTTGTGGTAGAAAGAGATTCATAGGAGGAATACCTCAGCTATTTTTTCAGAAGAAGTCTCATCTTTATTATTTTTGAATTCTTCATTTATCTTAAGTCTTGCAGCTGGAGAATGTGAGAGAGAAAAGAGGTTACTTTTCTTTATTTTGCCCTTAGCAGGTTCAGTAAAGTTTGTAAAGAGATGGAAAACCTTTATGATGGATTATTTGAATCACTTACCTGTTTACTGGGGGAAAAAAAAACCCAATTCAAATGGCAGAGCCACACACACACATGCTAAGGAGTGGGGTAACACACTATAAAGCTGGTTTCCCTGTACATGGTTTGTTTTTAAAAAACTGATGGTCTTCCAGCTATCAGTTCTTCAGGCTTAATGTTAAACATCATTTTCAATATGTGATGAAACTGCATAATGTAACTAAAAACAGTTATGAAGAAAGCCAAGTTGGAAAACAACAAATATATCTTAGGCACACCCAGGATGGAGACTGGTGTTACAACTGGTGTTACAGTGTAGTTCCAGACATTACAATGTACAACATGGACTAAGTCAGTTTAAAACAGTATTCATATTAAATCAGTAAGTTGCAAGGTGCTAGGGAAGGGAAAGGCTAAGTCAGAGAAAACAGCATTTCCACCACACACACACACTTCTGCTGCACAAACATTTCATAAAAATATTACCAAGAAGATTGAACTGTGGATAATTTCACAGCAGAAAGCCAGTATTTGGCTAGAGTACTAGATTTGGATCTGGAGACCTATTTAAAAGTTTGAGCCTCACACTCCAAATTCCTTAGCAAAGCAATGACTTATCTATGTGCTTTGTACCTTGAACCTAACGGAGTAGCAATGATTAATATTCCTAGTGGGTATTCAAATTTGATATGTTTCTCCATCTTATTTCCTGTATTTGAACAGGTGTCCTTTGCAGAAATCTCAAAATGGTTGCTCTCCATCCAGTATTACCAGCACATCTCCAATTGGTAGGGAAGAAATATCCTGGTGAATCTCACATGGCTACAGTTGCATTGGGGCTTGTTAAAGTTTGGGGAAAAGAGCAAAGATGTGGCAAATCTAAGAATCTTTACCTTCTAGGGCTCTTGGATCATTTTTGAAAACTTTTTGTCTTGTCCTGTGCAACAATTTGAAAAGCTTCAAGACCTAGAAACGCAACACAGCATTAAAGAAATTAAAGAAAGAATTGCCCTTGCATTTTACTAATCCCAATATTACAGATCTTGACCAAACTCACAAAAAACTTGTTCCTATATTAAAGATAAAGAACTTAGACTGACAGTGACTTGTCAAAGAACATCTGAGGAATATGTGGCTGAACCAAAAACATACATTTCTAAGGCCCAAACCCAGCACTCTATATATTTAAATTCCAGTTGATCAAGTAGTAATCAGTCTGATGTACTGGCTAGAATACTGGACTAGGAGTAGAGAGACCAAGATTTATATCACCAACCCGCATGAAGCTCAGGCCAGTTACTCTCCTGGACTAATCTACCTCATACGGTTATTGTAAAGCTAACATGGCACAAAGGAGAACCGTACAGATAGCTTCCAGGAGAAAGGATTGGATACAAGTGTGACAGACAGATCTCCTCTGATCAAAATTTTGTGCACACATTACCAAAACAAAGTGTCAACATAACATCTCTCTCCTCAATAGGCAGCATACACGTCACTATAACCCCTCACTAACAAGGGTAGTCAATGGCAGCAGCACTTGAATATCACACAACATTAAACTTTTCCTTTATCCACTTTCAGGTTACCTTCCACAGATTTGTTTTATGATATAAGCTAATGATACAACCCCCCCCCCCAACACACACACACATATTTTTATTTTGCAACCCTATAACAGCTAGCTGTTGTCTTACAAGTGCATTATAATAACCCACACTTAATCTTGCCTGATTTAGAGCCAGAAGATAATAAAAGCCTGTAAATGTTTAGGTTATAGTTCTTTTAATTAAGCAGAAAGGAAAGGCAGGAAAATAAATTTCTTTAGCGAGCACCAGACTACCATGACTGCAAATGTTTCAGTCACTTGGAATTCAGAATATCACACAACACTAAACTTTTCCTTTATCCACTTTCAGGTCACCTTCCACAGATTTGTTTTATGATATAAGCTAATGATACAACCCCCCCCCCCAACACACACACACAAATTTGTAATACTTATGCTTAAAGAAGTAACAACCATAACGACAGCAGTGTAGTCAGGGGGCAGTGCTGCAATGACAAAGTATAATATGCCCACCACCTGCACACAAGTGCCCTACACACACTGTAACCCTTACTCACATCAAATTAATCTGATAGCACAAGTTATACTAAAAAGTCACTATTTAAAAAGAAACCACATGTGCTAACATATTTCTTTTGACCTTCCCCCTGTAATATGCCCACCACCAGGTGCCCTGCACACACTGTAACCCTTACACCAAATTAATCTGATAGCACAAGTTATACTAAAAAGTCACTATTGAAAAAGAAACCACATGTGCTAACATATTTCTTTTGACCTTCCTCCAAGGAGCAGAGACCGGTGTATGTGATTCTGTCAAATCTGAGAGCAACCGGCTGAAGGTAACCTAGAAGGCTTTAAGGGAGGGTCAGCATTTGAACTCAGGCCTCCCAGAAACCAGCCCAACACCATAGTAACACACCAATCTCATTAAGCCTCCAGACCTCACTGAATTCAAGGGGGCTTAGTTCTGCCTTCAGGGCTGAAACCTTGATTCTGGGCTGTGGCTGTTCACAAAGGAGATTCTACTATGTTCTGCCACCTCCCATAAATACAACTGGCACCAACCAAAACACATTCTAAAGATTATTCCACATTTCTGTCCTGAATACTACCTAACCCCTCACTAGCTCTAAATCTAACGTTGCTGCTTCTACCTCCCCCTGCGATGCCATGCACTATTGCGCAAGCGCACAACCACCACTGACCTCTCGACTCAATTCTACTATGTTCTGTTGTTGTTCAGTCGCACAGTCGAGTCCGACTCTTCTATGTTCTACCACCTCCCATAAATACATCTGGCTCCAACCAAAACACATTCTAAAGATTATTCCACATTTCTGTCCTGAATACTACCTAACCCCTCACTAGCTCTAAATCTAACGTTTCTTCTTCTACCTCCCCCTGCGATGCCATGCACTATTGCGCAAGCGCACAACCACCACTGACCTCTCGACTCCCCATCGCCGCAGCGACTCCCCTTGAAACAGACGCACTAGCGCCACGAGAGATGAGACCACGCCCACTGCGCGCGCCACTTGTTCCACGCGACCCAATAGCAGAACTCCTCTTGATAATTAAAAAAAAAAGACCAAACCAGCAAGTTGCTCATCTTCGGCCTCCGTAGAGCTAACCATAGAGAGCAAAAGATTTACAGACCGACCAGAATGCTGGAAAAAGAAGCTGGAAGCGAGCTGAGAAAGCGATAGAGCGACAGGTCCTTTGGCAAGAGACCGGATGTGTTCATTCTTTTTGACGCCGTGGCTTATTAGACCGGTGAAATGACAGCTGGTCGAGATGTTGTAGAAAACGTGAACTATCGTTGGTGCGGTCTGACGGCAGTTTCCCTTCCCCCAACACAAACTCAGTAGTTCGTTCAAACTCGGTCTTTTCAAAGGGAAAACCTGGATTACGAGGGGTTTTTAATAAACTAGTCCGCCCAACGGCCATCCTTCCTACGCTAGGGCAAAAAAGGATCAAACGATTGTAGTTTGCTTGTATGCACCAGTGGGCACTGAATTGTAGCCGACAGTTTATTTTTTACTGCTTGCTGGACTCTTGCGATCTTCCTACCGTTGGACACTGCCGCCGCCGTTTGCATACCAGGCTTAAAGAGAGCAAGCAACCTCCACGCCTACTCTTGGTTGATTGGGAGACTGGAGGGAAAGGCGAGAAGAGAATGATGGGCAAGGAAATACATCAATCCCGCTATGGTATATTTAGGTCAGTTATGTTAGCGGGGCGCATTCGCAGAGAAGGGGCGGGTCACTTTTTAGACCCGGGAACGTGGCTATTGGCGGAGCGTGGAGAGGCGGGGTGTAGTGCGCAAGTCAAGCGACAAAACGCAGGGCGCGCAGGCGGGGTTCGTCGGGCGGAGAGATGGCCGACGAGATCAGTAAAGCGCAGGTGGCCCGGCCCGGCGGAGATACCATATTCGGGAAAATCATCCGCAAAGAGATCCCGGCCAAGATAATCTTCGAGGATGATCGGGTGAGGAGGAAGGGGACTGGGAGGGGAGTGAACCAAGGGAGCGCTTTGCGCAGGACAGCAATCGCGGGCTGGCTGGAGAAGAGCCCTGCAGTGCTGGGAGGAGCCGAAGGTCGGGCTACTTCGGCATTCTGTTGGCACCGATGTCCTCTGGCCGGATAGGAAGGCAAGCGGTGCTTCCTCTAAGCTGTGGAGTCTTGTGAGCGAAAATTCTACTTTGTGAGTTACTGGCATTAAAGACGTGAGCGAACGATTTGGCTTCGGCATAAATTACTTTGCTTCTGGAGCCATCCTTCCTGAGCTAGGACAAAAATGTGTGAGCCTTAAGGCTAAAAAACTGTGAGCTACCTCACACTAACTCAGTTTGGAGGGAACCCTGAAGGCAAGAGCGCTCCCCCACGTCAGAGACACCCTTTCTCAGGTTCCGTTATGGCTAAGCGGCCAGAGTTGACGGCTCTCCCGTCCATTGGTTTGTCTTACCCTCAGCCTAAAGGTATTTGTTTAAAACCGGTGCCCCCCCCCCCACAAGCTAAATAAAGAGGTTTGAAAGAAGCATTTCTTGGTAGCTAAGGGTTCAGTCTGATGTCATGAAGAGAAGCTGCTGTGCTGAAATGTTCAGGAAATGTTCTGTTCTTTGGAATTTCATACCATGTTTAGGCTTAACAGCTTCACATTGGGTAGCCGTGTTGGTCTGAAGCAGTGGAACAAAGTTTGAGTCCAGTGGCACCTTTAAGACCAACAAAGTTTTATTCAGGGTGTGAGCTTTCATGTGCATGCACACTTCCTCAGGCACATTGAAATGGAAGTTATCAGTCCATACATAAAGACAGAGGGTGAACAGCAAATTAGCATGTAACATAATGAAGTTGTTATGTATATGGACTGGTAACTTCCATTTCAATGTATCCATGCGCACATGGAAGCTCACACCATGAATAAAACTTCGTTGGTCTTAAAGGTGCCACTACATGGCTCATGAAGGACAACTGGCTTAACAGCATCAAGCTGGCTGGTCTGATAAGAGACTGCTGTTAACTAGTACATTTTCATCACAGTATTTTCATGAGCCATGTAGTCCATAATGGACATTGTTGCTGGCCCACCTACCCTTTGAACTGCAAGTGCCAGGGACTGAAATCCTACCATTCAGCTGTGACCTCTCTCTGAGCATACATGTTGAAGTCACCAAGTGGCAAACATACACGTGGAAAGAAGCATTTTCTTGAGGTGGCAGAAAGTGCTATCAAATTGCAACTGATTTATGGCAATCCTGTGAGACCACAAATAAGCTTAAAGACTTTATTAGGTTCTGAAAGCTCAGGAGTAGTGTAATCAATATAAAACAACTATTTGAAACAAAATTCAGTTCCTTTCTTTTTGAGGTAGTTGTAGGGCAAAACACATTTTGTAATTTGCTTGCTTTTTGTTTATTGAGATGTGACATGACGGGTAAAAATATAAGTAGAGCTAAAAAGGGTACTGTATCCAGCCTGAATACCTAAAAACATTGGAGCTGGCCTTGGAAACCCTTTGTACTCATAGAAGGTGATGTATGAGGAAGTTCTACATGCCCTCTGCATAAGACTGCTTTAGCCTGGGAAGAGGTCCGTAGAAATTACACAACACGTGTGTGGTTGTTGCCACTCCAGAAGATGGCCTGTGCTCTCCTACAACTGCATTGCAGAATAGAAAGAGTAATGGCAGGGGAGCTGCTTTGGGGGCAGGTTGTATCCATCAGTAATCTACTCACTAAGGAATGCTGATTTCCCAAGGAGTGTGTAGTGTTTCCAGGGAACACTGCTTGAAAACTGCTAAAACTCAAACAGTATCCTGATAGGGAAGATGAAAATTTCAGTTTTCTTCCCAAGTGTTTGATATGTAACCATGTTCATGCTTATATATGCCCATATTAGCTTCTGGCTTTCTTCTGTGAGTTCATGTAACTATTTTTTTCTATGAAGAAATACACAAAAATCCATCTGATCAGTAACTTCTAGTATACTTAACCTTTTGAAAAAGTTAAGGTGCTAGTGCAGATTCCAAAACCTGCTAAAGCACAAACTGAACATGTGTTGGTTTTTCCTCAAGATTTGGGTTCTCTTAAATATATAAAACAATTGGGCTGAAATGGCTCTTAAACCTAATCCTTGAGGGACAAAACCAAGCCATAATATGTAATGTATTTAAAAAGCTGAATAGAACTGTGACCAGTTGGATTTTGGTACTCAGCACCTAGTGATCACTTATTCCTCTGAGTGAAAAATGGTTTCTTAAGCCTATTTATTTTTTGTAAGCACTACTTCTGATCTGTATTGTATATTTGGTCTTGCCAAATACAAAAACATGGACTGAATGAAGTGGAGAATTTGTTCTGAAGAGTGCTCTTTTAGATTTTTATGAATTAATCATGTGCTTATTGCACTTGGTAGGATATGTTTGCTGTGCTAGACAAGTGTGAATGCTTTTCATTTCATCACAGTAAATTGTGAAGTTTTGATTGATTGCCATCAGTAGAGTAAGGAACACCTTCTCTCTGCCAGCTGCAATAGTAATAAATAACCTAGTATGAGAAACTAGAAATTGGATCCTTGATGATGGAAAGTGCCATCAAGCTGCAGCTGATTTGTGGCTACCCCATGGGGGCTTTCTAGACAGGAGATGAACAGAGAAAGTTTGCCATTGCCTGCCTCTGCGTAGCAACCCTTGGTGGTCTTGCATCCAAGTACTAACTGGGGCTGATCCTGCTTATCTTCTAAGATCTGAAGAGATAGAAATAGCTCGGTCAGGGAATAAATAACCTAGTCTGAGAACCAGCAATTGGATCCCTAGCTTGAGATATTTTTGGAAGATTAATGGAAGGTCATCATAATTATGTTGCTAATTTTGTTCTTATTAAAAGTTGAAATGTATAGTTTTGGTTTGTTACTGAATCCATTTTTAAGGGTACACATTTGTGTTTTGTATTGTACTTAGAGTATGATAAGCTAATTCATTTATTTCCAGTTTCTTTAGGCAAATTTTCTCGCGATCAAGCGGTCTTACTTTCACTTTCACTCCAGTATTACTGGAGTTCTCAAACTTTGGGGAAGTAACTGTAGACCAAGGGTCCTCAACATGGTGCCTCTGGGCGCCGTGGCACCCGCCATCACCTTTCCTGGTGCCCACCAAGTGCCCACCAAATACCATGCCATGTCAGATTTGCAAAGGTGCCCGTAGGCTCAAAAATGGTGGGGGACCCCTGTTTTACATTGATTGCATATTTAAATACACACCTAAATGCAGAAAGTGTGAATGTAAAAATCTTTGTGTGTATTCACTGGGTATACATGAAATTGTCTGTGGCTCCTTGTTGAGTGTGTACATTTGGTGCATTGTTCTGTGATGCAAGTATTTTGAATCTGAACCTGTGTTATAAAGGATGGCAGAGGACGAGCCCATGAAAAAATTGATTGGCAATAGACTCAGGATAGAGAAAAAAATTATTTGGCACATAAGGCATCATTAACATGGCACTCAGTGCCACAGGATATGGTGATGGCCAGTAGCTTGGATTGTTTTAAAATGAGATTGAACTATGGAGGAAAGATCCCTTAATGGCTGTTGACCATGACTGCTGAATGGGACCTCCATCTTTGAAGGCATTATAGCTCCAAAGGACAGTGCTATGCTCTAGTTGCTAGCCAGATTTCAAAAGACATTGGCTTCTGAGAAAATTTCAGACCTATTTCAAGGACTGCAGGGAACTATTTATGCAGGGAGTTCTCCTTTAGTTCTTGGGTTAAAAGCTTCGGAAAACATTGTTTGAAAAACTTTTATAGGTATTTTATTTTTGGTGTTTCAAGAACAGTTGTTGAAAACAATGACTTTTTCTTCCCCTCAGTGCCTTGCGTTCCATGATGTTTCTCCACAAGCTCCAACCCATTTCCTAGTGATTCCCAAAAAGCCTGTTGCTCAGATATCTCAAGTGGAAGATTCTGATGAAGCTGTAAGTATAAAAATAGGATTTGTACAACCTGTTATTTGATAAGCATTGGTTAGATGTTAAATAAATCCTGCTATTGTCTCACTAGCCATACTGGAACATGGTGCTTTACGTTGAAGAAGTATATAGCCACCGTACATAGAGCAGTCTTGGACAGTTTGCATTTTGCAGTGTTGCAAGCAGAGCTGCAATCTAAGTCACAATGAGGTTGGCAGTGAGCATACTACTACTTTGCTTATTAGTTCCAGTGTAAGATTACTACAATGTGCTCATGACTGATCTTAATCTTGTATCAATAATTATCCTTACATGGATCTTGAAATTACTATATCACTTTAACATAAACCCTTTATGAAGATTGCATAGAACTACAAGACTCACATTTATAATCACATGAGGACCTTCTTGGTAGCTTTTTCCTTATTGCCTTCCTGCTTTGAATTGAATGATGAGAAAAACGATCATTTTGTATAACCAGTACATCACTTCAAAATTTATCAGGAGCATGGTTGTATAAAATGAGGATACATAGTTGAATGAAAAACAGTGCTCTTAATCAGCTAGCACAAAATTAGTCTTTCTGGGGTTCTCTACTGAAGAGGGCAATAGCACCTAAATGGAGATGTGCTTTTTTCCTTCTACTTCTTATCCATTTTTAAAAAATTGTTTGGATCACTAATACAAAAATACTTATTTGACAGGCAGGTCATATATCTTACATAGACATAATAAATGATTTATTTATAACAGAACACACACTTTTCTATCTGCAGTATTAAAACACAAGTTGCCAATTTTAAAAGTAATGCAGTTAATGTTTACTGGGATATGAGATCCCTGTTATAATGTACATTATATGATGTTCGCAAAAGTATGCAAGCATTTTAAAGACTTTAATTAAACATCTCTGGAAAATCAGCTTCTAAAATGTAACACCACAGTTTTTAAGAAACTTACTTTCCCCATTTTCACACAAATTGTTCTTTTTCATCCTGGGAACTTTCTGCAGGCTTCATTCTTCAAGTAGTGAGCCTGGAGGTATTGAAAGAACTGTAGTCTTGGAGATCAAAGTCTCCATGAGATCTGAAACGCCTGGATCCCACCATAGGCAAGGTATTAATTTTAATTGAAGTGGTGCATCAGCTGTCATCAGCTGTGCAAGTTGCTCACTTGTGCTTGTACATTTCTCATTGATGAGCATTTCCATCAGCTCTGGAGAGAGCTGAGAAAACTGTGTGTTCTGTCTCACTTCTCAGTTTTGGCTATCTCATGCAGGTTATATGTTTGCTCCAATGAGTTAAGATAGCTTCTTTCTCTTCCTGTTTTCTGTTGAAGATTGACTGTAGCCCACAAAAGTATATGTTTCAATAAAACTTTTAGTCTTGGGTTATTATTTTGTTCTGCAACAGACCAATTCCCACTGGTATATTCGTGTGTGTATGTTTGTGTTTTTCTTTTTCAGCTACTTGGTCATTTAATGATTGTGGGTAAGAAATGTGCTGCTGAATTGGGCCTGACCAAAGGATACCGAGTGGTGGTGAATGAAGGGCCAGACGGTGGTCAGTCTGTCTACCATTTACACCTGCATGTCCTTGGTGGTCGTCAGATGGGTTGGCCTCCTGGTTAAGATTTAATTGGATAAGATAGTTGTGCTCAGTCCATATCTTAAATATAGTCAACAAATGTTTGAAATATTCAACTACTATCATTAAGTTCCTCTGCTTAATTTGTCTTGTGGAACATGCAACTTGTGCAGGTGTTATTCAATAAAGACACAAGTATGTTGGATCTCCTTTGTGTGTGTATCATTTATGTACCAGTTCCTTCGCTGAATTTGAACAGATGGTGCCACTGCACAGTTCCATGCAGAATTACATCATCTAAGCCTATTTATTTCAGTGGGCTTCAGACAGAGTAGCTACGCACAGGTTTGCACTGTTAGTGAAACAATGTTGTTCCTCACCATACCGTTATGCAATGGGTTGTTAATCCCTCATTTGCTAGATGGAAATTTTAAGTCTGAGACAGTGACTTGGCTCAAGTCTGAACAATGACTTTAATGAAATGTTAGCCAAATTGCCTTGTATTCTTAATTAGTCTAGGGGAGGTTATGATTATTAATTGGAAATAGGCAAATTAGGGTTCACACCAATGTATACAGAAGTCCCACCTTTGCTGTAAGAACCAGAACAGACACAGAGACTGTATTCAATTAAATATAATGTCTTTTTACTGGGGAATATATTTACCATTCAAACAATACACAACCACACACACATTTATACACAGCTAAGAAATAAAGATAGATACTTAACACAGTTGCTTTTAGGGTTGCCAAGTCAAAAAAACTCACCGGCGGGGGAGCCTCTAGATGTAAATTTATATAACAAGGACTGCTTATTTGCAATGTTTTATCAATGCACATAGATAAATCAGAGTGAAAATGGCAGCAAATTGCACATTCAGTACAAAATTCAGAAATAAAGATCTAGTAATTTGGATCTCTATAATTAGAAGCAAGATCTAGTAATTTGGATCTCTATAATTCCTGCAAAATGTCAGAAAAAGAGAACGTTAGAGTTTATGACTCTAATGTGACACTGCTCACACTGTGGCAGCAATACTAAAGGAAGGTGTCCCTCTTTCAGGTGTGCAGTCTCAACAGGTATTCTCAGGTCTCCATATTATACAGTCCCTTTGCACAGTTCATATTCCATAAAAACACATTGATAGGCTTGCATGGCAACAGAAAGAATGGGGGATTTGAACCCTAGCCCTAAACTACAGTCATAATCTCTCCTTAGTGTAAATTAAACATTGTTCAGTAGCATTTCCCCCCAAAAAAAGAAATCTTGGGAAGAGGTTGCTGTATGTTTGCTTGGCTGTAGTGTGCGGAGTGCCATAAAAATCTGACAAAGCATAACATGTGAACAAGATCTTGGCAGTGGTTGTTATAAAAGAGCCCGAGGAAGCATTTGTGGTTGAAGTAGGCACTCATGAGCAAGATGGACCAATGGGGGCTGAGTTCATACTGGCAGTTTGAAGCAGGAGGGAGTCATGGCAAAAAAGACCCGGAACAAAGTGTTCCGGGTTTTCCCGGTCACACTGCACCAACTGATGCGGGAGCATACCGGGGAGGAGGCACAAGGGAGTGTTCACACTGTTGGCCCGGAGGCGTGGCTGTAAGCAGCTTTTTCTGGTAATCCGGTTATGTGCACTCATGCACATAAATGCATCCCAACGGGATCACGGCTTTTCACGTTCACACTTCCGGGAAGCGGAATGGACGCGGGATAATCGCGCTTTCCAGGGTTTGATACCACTTTCACCTGGTATCTTTTAAACTCGGGAGGGAAGCGTTATGAGACGAGTGCGGCTGGGGAACGCCAGACAGATGTGCCTGTGTGAACGGCCCCTTTAATCCGTTAGTGGAACATTTCTGAAACTTGCCTATATCGGGCCAAACTGCCAGTCTGAACTCGGCCATGTGACTCTGACGAAGGCCATTTCATATGTTCAAAACGAAGACAAGTATTTCCATATTGTGGAAGTGGGATTGAGTCTGAAAGATCCTGGTTTGCCAAAGTTCACTTAGGTGCAGGGAAGACAGCAGTCAGGAACTTCCTGGTTCACAACTGAATCTTGATAGGCCACACAAGGTGAGGTACAGTGATCTTCCTGTAGGGGTTTTTTTCTGGTAAAAATATCTGGAGGGTCCCCAAAATTGGGTTGGTGTTATGGCACAGGGAGGGGGACGCGGGGTAGTTCTTAATCATATGTCCCTCAGAGTATCTCTTTGGCCTGTGAAGGACTTCGGGATGAAAGAATAGTAGCAGGCCCAGCCCCAGCAGAAAGCAACAGAGTGGATTTCCTCTGTGTCTGCTGTTCAGAAGTTTTGATCTTTCTGTGGGGTTGGCTGCTGCTGTGCCAGGCTTTAGCGAGTGAATCTGCTGCCATGTATAAACAATGAATGCAGGAAGGTGGAGCAGATCTGAACAACTGCAGTTGGTTTTCATGCTCAGGATTTGCAAGCAGGGCTTTAGAAAGGCTGAAGCCACAAAGAAGCCGCTGTACATGGCTCTGCAGTTCTGAGTGGAAGGACCCCAACTGTAAGGGATACAAAACCAATTCAGGTTCTTGAAATTGCCAGTTATTGTAAGCAACTGATTCACAGCCTGTTAGTTTTCCTACTTTGGCTTTAGTTGTCTTTCTGCAGCTTTCTGCTTGTTTATTTTTGTTGTAAAAGGGGCCGAACTTATAAATGTAGGAGAATAAAATGGTAAAATGGACTGGGCCATTTCAGAGTGCAGCTGCAGGATCAGGGGTGTTCATATTTAGGAATATTTCCCTTTGTTAAAAACTTAAAATTAGCACAACTAGTAAAGAGAGGAGGTAGAAGAAGCTTACTGCCTGCTGTACAAGGTTTCTGTAGTTTCACAATTTTGTTTGCAAAGGATCATTGAGAGCAGCATTCTCACATGCAGTATTGGTGCATTCCATTCTACCATTCCATTCTTTGGCATTTATAGATCTGGCCAGAGTTCAGACACCCCCTCACCACATGCAAGAGTGCTGTTAATTTTCTTTTTTTCAAATTAGGTTCAAATGTAATCTTGCTTTTTCATTCAATCTGGTGTTTTAAAGTTTTTTTAAGAACAGTAGCCAAGCTATTTTTGAGGTTTTTATGCAGATAGGACCAACTGTAATACATCAGAACAAGATGTATTTAGTAAAGTGCATTTGCCAAATATAAGTGTTTGATTCTTTGGCAGGATATAGAGAATTGTGTCCTAGGCAAGAATACTGAATTGGCTAGCAGGATGCTCCTTTAGCTTTGAATCAGAGGAGGAAAGGGAGTTTAGAGATTATACAGTACAAGGGGTGGACCCGTGATACTCGCGAGGGGGGGTAGGCAGCGCTCCAAACTGAGCTCCAAACTCAGGAGGCAGAGGAGGAAGTAGGAGAAGGTAAGTTCCCCCCCATCCTGCTGGTTCCTCCCCTGTATCCTCCACCCCCCCTCGATCTCCCCCCTCTGGCATTCCCC